TCATACACACAGCCATGCACGTGTCACTTGCCTTCTCGTGCGCTTCTATCTCACCTCGTCTTTCTCATCTTTTCATTACTACCCTCTGGAATCTTCATCGTTTTTTTATCAAATGGCAGGCTTTGTGATAGTCATCATTAGCCCTTTAGTTGACTTTGAGCTTCAGAGAGAGGGGAGGAGAACAAACGAGTGATTCACAGATACAAAAGAGACAGACACAAAGGCAGAGAAAAGGTAAGATAAGTACTGTGGAAGTGGTCGAATATGACATACAGTAGGGTCATGGTAGTTTGAAGTCAGAAGTCAACTGCCAGTATATTGACCTTTTTGACATATAAGTATACGTTGTCCAGGGTACACCACGCGGAGGTAAGTCTATCGCACTACATCACTTCTGTCTTCTACACTATCTTCATCGTGATATATTCAATACACACTGACCTTCAAGACTCTGTGTCAAAACTCTTAGAACAGCTGTTTGCTTTTGTTAGCTATTAACCAAAGTCTTAGCTCCAATGATCTGATTCTAGTTTTTTAGTCCCTAAAAATCGTGAACTTCGGCTACTGTTCTTCTAATTCCTACCATCTCATTATTATGTTTTAGGCTTCTGGGGAGCAATACTCGCCTTTATTGGTGTATTTCTTACTGACGGAGAGACAGTGATGCGAGACGGTTTCTTCAGAGGTTACAACTTCCTTGTTCTCCTTGTTATTTTACTTCAATCCGTTGGTGGTCTTCTTGTTGCTGTGGTGATCAAGTATGCTGACAATATTCTCAAGGTCTTCTCAACATCAATCTCCATCATCTTATCATGCCTTGCTTCATACTACCTCCTCAATGACTTCGAACCCAACCGGTAATTATTACGCTACCTATAAATTCGAGTAGTATTATTCGTTAGTGTATCTCAAACAGAATATGATTAGATAATGATAACCAGGAATCCTACTTAAATAAGAAGAGTAGTAACATTTTTTTGTTGACAGGTATTTTGCAATCGGTACACTGGCTGTTCTTGGCGCAACTGTTCTCTATAGCTTAGGAGGCCGAAAGACACCTGAGCAAACCGAGATACCCCTCACTACCACCAAAACCTGACCTATTTTGTAAGGCTATATTATCCCCAGTCTTTCCACTTTACTATGCTTTTTTTGGAACATTGTTAAAATATGTTATACCACTACTGTGAAATGAACTTAAGCTTTCTTTAAAGGGGAACTGACATCCGTATAACTCGACATACCTACTTGTGGCATACATTTTATCATAAACTATGTAGGACTGTGTGAGCAATCCAGCTTTTGTCTTCCTGCCCACCTATCAAGCCAATAATACCAGCATAAATGGCATTAATGAATATTCAGCCTTGACCCCCTCCCCATAGGATGGCGTAAGCAAACTGATTCAGAACTTGATGAGTGAATAAATGTAAAATATGCTATTATTTAAGCCAAGTATCATTTAGCATCAAAGTGGGGGTCTGCATTCTCAATTAGCATTAAGTTGTGCGTCATCCGTTAGTATTTAGGAAGAAGCTGTGTTGAATTCAGCTGATGGAGGGTGGCTGTCGATGTTGATCATAAAATCTCCAACTTCTGTTGACCAATGCTTCGCCTTTCATTTCACAGCATTTTTATATGAACTTGGAGTGACAGCAACGGTGATTGGCAAATTGAAGGAACCAATGAAGCAAAACCAGCCTGTTGAATCTGAGACTGTAGCTAACAATTGAGGGTAAGAGTTGGGAGGAAAACACCATGTTGCCAATTCTTAAGAGTACGATTTTAAAGCGCAATTCGATATTTTTCGTGAAGTTAGAAAGTTCTTAGTTGCCATATTTAACAGTTTCTTAGGACATGCGATACTTCAGAAGAATTTTATCGTTTTGAGACCAGTTATGAAGTCGACATACGTTGTATTGGTATCGTTATAATCGAAGTACAAGTTAGTAACTTCAGAGATTACTGGATGGATATTCATTGATGCAGATCCAGATGTGAAGATTGGTAAATAACTAAAAACTATCCTCAGTTTGTATATTTTGGCAAGTTCTATAATAATTCTGAGTAGTTATGCATTACAATTTGCTAGTTGACAAGATTGGGTAGTGAAACCTCTCCCTTCGTCAAATCTGCATGACCGCTAGTTACAGTGGCCATTGTTTAAGCAATTGCTCCCAAAAATATGCAATGGTTAAAGTAACGTAACTTTTTACCCATTTCTTCCAGTATAAAGATGGTGTCGGTAATCGTTGTGGGCATTTAGATCGACAGAATAGTCAGCATTCAGAAGAATAGCTTCACTTCCTTTACGAACAGCAGCGAAAACAATATGTGCATTCCATAGTAAACCGATTTTAAAACGGCCTTGGGCAGAAAAAATCGATTAGAAAAAAATGGCAGAGCATTCGTCGCCAATGTTAGTACACATTTTGCACGATGGCATGGATCAATGGCTTCTTGAAATACGTCGACAAAAACAACGCTGGGCCATTATCTCTGCTGTGAATGAAGAAACGGATGCAACAGAAAGTGCATGATTGTATGTGGCATTTCTGAGCAATTTCAAAGGACAAAGTTGGCCAGACTAGTTGAGAGCAAGCCAGTTAAATTAAGAGTCTGTTCCACAAGCGGTTGTTGAAGTGTCGATGCCCTGGAAGGTCATGTTGTAGATTAGTTTCAAGGTCAGTTTGATAGACTCATTGCATGCACGGGTTGAAGAAGACTAGTTCCAGTTCTGGACACGCCAACGATTGCCACAGCTCGTTTGAGGTTATGGTTTTGCTTGCAACTGGGTGTTGTTGAAGAACTTGATTGCCATTGGTTCTGTGATCTATGATTTACACATTTCCGGTTTGGTCAAGTTACCATAGATATGGTATCCGAGAGACTGTTAACTCGGAGGTACTTTGGTTTTAACTTAATAGCGAAGAGACATTTTATGGAAACTTTGCGGATTTTTCCTTGACTTGTTTTGGAAATGGCGTTGTCATATGATCCGAGAGTTCTCCTTTGTAACTAGCCTCTTGTTACTTAACATATTTCAGCAACTCATTTGGAAAAGCCTAGTATTTTAAGAAGGAGCGCAGTTGTCATTATTTCCACGCAATGTATTAAAAAATAATAATAAAAGCAAACAAAAGTGGTCCGTTATTAAGAGCGCGATAGATTGATTTAGATGAGTGTCATATTCAGATGATCGGTACGAATTCTCACGATCCTCCTTTAGAGCCATCCTTTAAATGTGCCAACCCGTGCAAATGTTTGGCTTTTCCTTTCATAAAGACTCTACGGCATTTCATGCATATATGCAGGGCTAAACTATGACATTTTGACCATTTTGAGGTGCCAGCTTTGTCAACCTTAGTTTCAAGTTCTTTTCGTTGCTTGTTTTCTCCATCTCTGGAACCATGTCCAGCCGACTCTATTTTATTATCTCTGGAATAATTTCCTCTATATTTTCTCATTTTCCTTTCTCCATAAGTAACAAAAGTAACAGAATCGTCGTCCGATATTTTTTGAGCGCAAGTTTCGCTTAGAGTCATAAAGTTTACAATCTCGAAGTAATTGTTAGAGATAGCTATGCTCATAGGTGTCTGTCCGTCTATGTTGGTGGAAGATTCAGCCGTGTTTTGGTCATATAAGACTTTAACTGCTGCAAGATTATTGTTTAAAACAGCCAAATGTAGTGGAGTATTTCCGCAAATATCCTTGAATTCGCGATCAGCTCCCAGAGCCAGTAGCAAATTAATCATCTCTATACTACCAATTACAGTAGCCACCATCAAGGGCGAACGGCTTAACGGACCAATTGGAGCATTTGGACTTGCCTGCAATTATTAAATTAACCAGTTACTAAAATGCACAATTTTCAGGTACATAATTGGACGAAACAATGCTATGCGCTCTCGAACATGCTGTAACGTGCTACTGTGTGATGCTAATGATGTTAATGAGCAACTGAGATCGCGACCAAAGATCGATAATCACTACAGGATCATCTTATCCAAAAAAATAATGTCTAAGCTCCATGATAACATCTTCTACTCCATACTCAGGCCAAATAGACGTATTCGACGTTACACGTCTGTTTCCTCTGTAGTCAATTCCTGGAGCCATGCCATATATTATGACCTGTTCTTGATACAATCAGCTTCAAACTAACACCGAATACGAGGTTGTGGGCTCTAAAGCGCCAACAAAGTTTTTTGTAATTTTAATTTTAACTTTAGAATTACCAAAGACTAGGGCTACTTTAAGATACTTTCTTGAATAGAAATCAAAGAGGGCGTCCACGTAAACTTGATTTTTGGCATTAAAATATCTTAGATCCGAAAGGCGATCGGGTATGTTACAGAGGTAGGTGGTCTTACAAGAACCAGATCGAAATCTAAAACGGGTACTTTATAGGATGGATTCAGGAAGAAATTTTAGTGGCACACTTAAATAAATTTCGATTTGAGCAAATATACGACAAAAAACTGTTTAACTCTTGCTAATACTTATACCAGCTAAGGTAAATACTTAACCATGGAGAAATTTGCATTTTGATCAGTCAGAATTGCCCATGAGCACCCCGCTAGCAAGAACAAAATATTTCAAGAATCTACTTTTAAATAAAATCGAAGGTGACCACTAATCGTTGAAATCTGCAGGCAGTTAGAAGAGGAAGAGTCTTTCGCAGCAAAGGCAAACGTCAAAATACTTTAAGAAATAGATCTGATCAAGGAGTTTTTTTGAAAAAATTCTTACTAAGGAATTATAATTGTCTCAATGTTAAGACTTGAAAAATAGGCCTAAATTGAGCATCAGACAGACGAGGGTTAAAAAAATTAAATCTGAAGTGGTCGATGCAAAGTGTTGTCCAGGAATTCAAATATTATTCTTATTTCAAATGACAGGCCTTGTGATATTTATCATTAGCCCTGGAATTCAAATATAAAGCATAAAATGATTGACAATGTAATGCAATTAAATTCGCTGATAAAGAGAGTGTTTCCCTAAGCTGCTATTAAAAATAAATTATAAATTCATACGTAAAATCAATACTTACACCGCTTTGAATAGCTACCATTATAGAGTCAACGTCGTTTGAATTGATAAGATAGCGCCAGTCTATATCGAAATTTGTCATTGAACGCTTGAAATGGCCACTTTAACCGAAATTTGAAATATTTGTGACTTGTTCATGAAACGAATGCGTGTGAATATTAGTTTGTGAGCTCTAATCATTGAAAAGTTAGTTCCTCTAACTTTACACTGCGCAGTTTTGACAAGTATTGCTAATTTTAAAGCTGTAAAGTAGCATTAATTGAAATTCTGAAGTTCGTTAAAACTAAGAAATACTGCTTTAATGAGTACTCAAGCAAACTTGTGACTGAGTATACGCACCGTCCTTGCGTCCTTGGGAAAATCATGGAAGAGTTTTATTTATATTAAATGTCGGGCATTTTGACAGTTATCATCAGCCCTTTAGTTGGCTTCTGGCTTCACAGAGAGAGGGGGACATCAAAGTCACAATAGGTCGAGAGGAGGAACAGAAGGGTGATACAGAGAAGCAAAAGTGGTAGACACAAAAGTAGAGAGTAAGGTAAGGTGGGTACTGTGAAAGTGCTCGAATATGTTTCTCAATTTAGTCCTCCAGTGGCCTACTTTCAAGAAATATCACTTGAATCCGTCTCCTCTAGATCTCATCGAGCAACTTTTTAATTTCGATGCTCTTTTTTTTGATCATCTAAGGCTCATATTTAAAAAGCTTTAAAGCTGACCACATTATATAAACAAAAAATTATTAAATCATGGCAAAACTAGCAAGTCTTAAATGAAATTTACCAGTCCCCATTTTCCAAAACTTAGAATAGCTGAATTTACTAAACTATTAGTATGTGCTTTGCTTGAGATAAGAGCGTTGCCAAATAGTCGATAGAAAATGAACTCCAGCTAAAGTATCCGAAAGTCATCCCCAGCCATTCAGCTAGCGAAATCTTCTAACTTGTACCCTCACCACTACGACAACAAATTGAGTGAGAAGACTGAACAGCGTTGAGTAGAATTTATGAGAAGTCAAGTGACAATAGGTTGGAAATGGTGGGTATACTTTGTGATTTCTGAGCGTTAAGAAGGGAAGTATAGACAAAAAAATCTGCTAGAAGTAGCGGAAAGCATAGAGAAGCGATGACTTGGCGTTAATATTAGCTAGTTATCGCATTGGTTGCCCTGATCCTACTTATTTCTGCCAAGGGTATCGTTGCATCCGTTTTGTTAAGCTGTCGGTGAATTCCATTCTCATTGAATAGAGGTATTATCACTCCCAAGCCGCAGTATTGTCTAAGGGTGACTACCACTTCATGATTTTGATGTGGCTCATAGCGATTAGTGAACACAGAGCGAAAGCATTAGTTTGGGGAAGAGTTTACCAAATTTGACCAATAGGAAACAATTAAAGCCTAATTAGTTGCAATTTTGATTTTGCAATAAAGTGTGAAAGGTTGAAATAGTGAAGGAACCCTTGGTAATGCGCTTAGAAAGGTGGTTATTGAAACTCTTCACCGTCGGTTCATCATTTAACTAGAATTTTAATTCTGCGAGCACGCCATCACATGCTCGCACGCCAGGATTTGGAGGTGCGCCGTACCACTCCGTGTGCAGCAGCCGTTCAACCAATGGCCAATCAGAAGCCTCCATTCGCGTAAACTAATTTGCGTGTAAACTTTACCCATATTATCCTTACTGAATAAACGTGTTCCGTGCTATAAGTCTGTTTCCTTTATAGCTGGGCTATAGCTTAGCTAGTTCTGGGAGTCTAGCTAGATATAGGAGAATCTGCCACAGAGATTTCTGAGTCAGTCAGGCTTTACTAACGTAGCAATCCGCTACAGAGTTTGAAGAAGCGTAAGATAACAAAAACCCGATGAGATGATAATTGATTTACATTTTACTGAGGCTTACTTTTGAAAGAACATGATGATGATAATTTTAAAGTTCGAAGACTTTATTTAATTGGTTGCATTCAATTTGATTAAGGGATTGAGATAATCGGAATGTGCCATTCGCACTTAAAATAATGCAGAGAAATGCACCTACCCCCTTTATGGAGCATCACTATCTATTTATTGATAATTCCAGCGAAATGCGTTTTTCTACAGTTAATTATTGGTCTCAACTCTTTGTCAGGGCGTTCCATATTGGATGAGATAATTTTTAGTCTCTGGTTGACTGGTACTGAGATTGAATCACATTTTGACTATATTCACCCACGTCAAATAGTCTAAATTTATCTTGGCTACTTGCCCCTGTCTATTAAATTAAAGAATTTTAATGAATAATTTTTAAACATATGTGTTTAACAGAAACCAATTTTCATACTTTGTGTCGAGACCTTTTGAAGGAACAAGGAAAAACGGTTTTTTAATTAGTAAGCAATGTTAATTAAAGTTATATTTTGCGTGTAAATATTAATTCGAAGGGATTGACAACCCATTCAACATCAGTTTGATTTGAACCGTATGCAGCTTTCGATTGATAGTGGTATATGCAGTTATGACTTCAATCATTTTTGTCTCATTTATCTGCTTCTTTTATTAACCAACAACTTGCCTATTCCTACAAAAATCTACGATGACCTTGAATCGCATTTACCCACGGTAACAGACGCAATTGAATTTTATATAAAAGGGAAATGTATAAAGTGAATTAACTATTGAAATCCGCATACAAGGCAATGATTATTAATCTTTTCGTTTTGGTTTTATCGCAAATAAATGGTCCATTTAAAATTGAAGCATTAGATTTTCCTGATTCAACCTGTTCGAGAATTGTCGCAAAACCTAATGGGAGAACGGAGCATATGGTATTTAGGGTGGAGCGATTCCAGGTAAGCACCGATTTAATGGCGTGAACTTCTTATATGTCTTAACTTTTAGATGGGCATACTCTATGGGCAATCTGAAGGGCTAACATTCACAATAAAAAAGGGAAAGTGCATGTCAAAAAGTAAATTGATTGGGAGACCATGCCAACGTAATAAAGGTAATAATTATCTGTTTTGCCTTTTCGGACAAGTAATAGTCAAAATTGTTTAGATTTTGTCATTATTACAATTGACGACATTTCAAAATACAATCAACTTTTTATCTTTGGTAAAAATGACACATGTCTTGCTACTATTGTTCCAAAGTGTGTGTTCAAACCCGTTGATCCAGGTTAGAAATTATCAAATGGTAGAGATAATGGCATTGTGGCTAACATAATTAGAATTACTTTTGAAATATTGGTTCTTAATAAGTATTATTGTCGTTATTTTTAGGAAATGTGATACCAAAAGTATCATTTCCGTTTGCTCGAATTGCAAACGGGATGAGCTCTGTCCAAATTAACATTTCTATAAATGGATCAAAAAGCATTACAGAGGTGAGTTTAATGTCAAATAGAGTTTATTTTTACCTTACGCAAATTCGATAACGTCAATTTTAAATGATTTTTGTAATTTATTTGGAAACAGTTTTTAACCTACCTAAACTTTAATATTGGTAATGCCTTGTGAAACTTCTCGTTAAGAGCACATTGTATGTGCAGAAGGTTCCTTTGTGTCAATGGTTTGGTACGACTGTCTCTTCTGATGGGAATCCTAAATATTGTCGTGAGTAAATATTAACGCAATTATCGATCAAATAAAAGCAGCTTAATAGCAAATATTTACAATAAAAGAAGACTTAATTGTAAACGAAGACGAAGATCGACTGGATCACTCATTTGTGTATGACCGAATCGGCGAGGAAGAAATGACAAATTTTTATTTTTCATCGAACAAAACATATGTCGGAATTACTGTATATTGGAGAAAAAAGGGTATTTTACATGTTCAAATTAAAATTTCCTGATTGATTTGAAAAAAATCAAAATATTTACTCTCTTAAGGGGAGTCGCCTGACATAATCGAGTGTTTAAGTAAGTTACTAAACATAAAGCAAAATTCTATTGCATTTAAAATTGAAATTCGTGATTGTTTGGTTTGCGAAAAGAAAATGCGCCCCATCAATGATGCAATCACTTTAATTAAACTCATCCAATTCTAAAATATTTCATAAAACAAATTATCTGTAAGAAATATATTAATAATAAACTTTTGGCACTGTTATTTTAAACAATNGATCTAATTTAAAATATAATACTAAATCAAGCTCTTAAAATTTGTAATCATTGCAATATAAAGATAAAGTATTAAACTTTGAATTAAAATTGTCATCTCTGTATAATCCTTCAACCACAATCGTGACTTTGAAATGATTAGTCTGTTGAAAAGGACGTAGTCTCGCAGGTAACAGAAATGAGTGATGCTTTGATAGTGAAATATGCACGATTTTCTTGACATATGGCAGTATGTCAAGAAATGGATTTATTTGTTAAATGCAAAGTTTTGAGCAAAACTGTTGTTACTACTAAATTATCCATGATTCGCTAAAGCCAAGTTAATATGTCCCAATCAATATGGATTTCGTTTAATTTAGTATAGATGCTAGTGCGGACTTGGTGACGCTCAATATGTTAATTTAGATAGTGCACAACGTAAAATCAACTACAGATAGTTATATGAATTGAGAATTAATTAATATTGAAATAATTTCTATCGAAATAAAATGTTTACAACAAAAAATGAAAGTGAAGACATTCACATTTATTTTTCTTTTGAAGTACATGGCGAACCGCTGACAACCAGCAGTGGTAAGTCCGAATACACTTTTAACACAACAATTAAATTCGTTAATAAGTGCTTAAGAAATAATGAAATGAAATGTTTACCTCAACAAATGAAAGTAAAGCCATCGACATTTATTTGTTTTGAAGTGTATGACAGCTCATTGACAACAAGCAGTGGTAAGTCAATATTCAAATTTTACCCAACAATCTAATTCGAGAGCAACATATGTATTTTAAATGATACTTCAATATCTTTATAACAAAACGAAAATGAATCTTGAATCGGTAGTCGTTTGGTAGGATTTAATTTGTTATTAATAGAATTTTACAAAAAAAATTGAATAAATAATTTGCCTTACGGTTATGGGAATGGTCTTTCGCATTTGTTACATATATACTTCACGATCTCAGATACTGAACAAATTGTTAGAAATCATT